GACAGAAAATTAAAAAAAAAGAAAAAGATGGTTCTCAAAGAGTTTATAGAAGTGTAAACAACATTTAAAAGAGGGACAATTTGAGGGGGAAAAACACAAAATGAATATAAGGCTTTTTTTCTTTTCATTTATAAAAATAAAAATAAACTTACTGATTGCTTCTCATGGGGGAAAAAATGCATCTTTATGCAATTTACATTAACCCAAATTTACTAAATAGAAATGTCAATGAAAGAACTGCTTTTTAGCCACTAAAGCAGTGCTTTTTCCACTCAGAGATGTGGATCTGAATTACACAAAGAGTATCCCAACGTAACACCTGACCAGAACCCATCTTAAGACAAGTGAATCAGAATATTCAGGTGTGAGGCTTAGTTTCCGTTCCCAAAGCCCCCAGGTGATTCTGAAGAGAATCCCTAGAACACAACTACAGCATTAAATGCACTATTTAAATGGGAGTAGTAGGAAGAAATAGCTTTAAAGACCTGTTCTTAGTTCAGATGAACTTCAAATGGCATTATATCTTTTGTAGGCCAAACAAATCCTTAAAATAACCCCTCAAGATACTTATTATCAGCCCCATTTTAGGGTAAGCAAGCCAAGAGATGCATAAATAAGCACCAAAGCCAAGGCTAGAACTAGTTCATTCCTTCCAACGCAAGATTTATTGAGGCCTAATGTGAGTTATGCACAATGTACTAGAAGATAAAAGAATAAGATGTGGGCACTACTCTCCCTCAAACTGAGCCTCTCTCTCCCCAGTGGTAGTGGGCCTTCCTCTCTGTGAGCAGGAAAGAAAATAAGGTGTCACAATAATGACACTGATCTTCTGGTGCCTCTGCTTGAAGATCTGTGATTCTAAAAGACTCTCCCTCCATAGGTCAGAGCAGCTCTGAGACCCTTCCCTATCCCTTACCCCCAATCGGGAGGCTCTCAGCCTTGGCTACATAATAATCACCACAGGAGCTTTTAACAGTATAGTTGCCAGATCCTCTCTAGACCAATTAAACTAGTATCTCTGGGAAGGGGCCCAGGCACTGGTATTTATTAAAGATTCCCAGGTGCTGCCAATGTGTATTCAGCAGGTGAAGCGTCAATGCCTTAATGTTTCACATTTATATCTCATAAAAGCCTGGGTCTAAAGTTAACCTAAATTAGTCCAGGGGACAGAAAATCCACTGCTGCAAACCTAGTTGGGAGTAGAAGGCACTTAGAAAAATAACCATGATACAAATCAAAAACCCAGACAGTGGCAAGTTAAGTAGCATAGGAGTTCAGAGGGAAAGATTACTTTCAGCTGGGGTAACCCCAAAATTCCTTCACACAGATCTCAAAGTTTGAGTAGGATCTGAAGACAAGAGACACGGAAATTGTAGAGAAACTACCTTGTGAAAAGGGTAACATGGATGTCTTCCAAAATTGCCTGAAGTTTAGTCTCAGCCTCACTTTCAGCAACTGTCAGCTTTTCTCCAGTATCTCGCCTGACAGCTACAAACTGACAGCTCTTCATATCACGTGGCCCAACTTCAAGTCTAATTGGAACACCCTACAAAACAAAAAAAGGCAGTTAAAATGATATATGCACACCTCCAGTTGAATATATACTTATTTCATGGCTTTATCTTCTATAAATGATAAAAACCCCAAAAGCAACAGCATAGCTAAACAAGAAAAAAGCAGGTAATATTCACGAGATAGTATAGAAAACTATTCCAATAAGAAGGCATAAACCTAAGGGGAAAAAATCTACTGCTGGTGTTATTATGATCCAAGGAAGGTCTTAATGGAGAAGCCTAAGAGGGTAGTTGTCTAGATCAGCATTCCCAACTTTTCTCACAAAATAGCACACACAGAGATTATATTGGTATAGCACACGGGGATAAACAGAGAAGGCCTCTTGAAGCCAAAGCCTCCCCAAGCCACTAAGGGGATCAGCACCTTGACACAGTCTTGACTCAGTCACAGTACACCGGTGTTCTTTGGCTAGAGAGCCCTTAATCTGGATACTCTAGCTTTAGCCAGTATTAGAATCACCTGGAGGGACTGTTAAAGCACAGATGGCTGGGCTCCACCTCCAGAGTTTTTTATTAGAGTAGGTTGGGGATGGGGCCTGACAATTTATATTTCTAACAAGTTCTCAAGTGATGCTGACATTGCTGGTCCTGGGACTACACTTTGAGAACCACGACTGATTATCTGCAAGTTTAAGACTTGTAGGCTGGGCATGGTGGCTCATGCCTGTAATCTCAGCATTTTGGGAAGCTGAGATGGGAAGATCTTTTGAAGCCAGAAGTTCAAGACCAGCCCGAGCAACATAGCAAGACCTCATTTCTACAAAAAAATTAAAAAATTAGCCACGTGCAGTGGCATGCTCCTGTAGTCCTAGCTATTCAGGAGGCTGAGGTAGGAGGATCACTTGAACCCAGGAATTCAAGGTTACAATCAGCTATGATTGGGCTGCACTCTAACCTGGGCGACAAAGTAAGAAACTGTCTCTTTAAAAAAAAAAAAAAAAAAGAGAGAGAGACAGCAAGAGAGACCTGCGAATGTTCAATCCTTGTGAATGTATATCTCCATAAGAGGATTAAAACCCTTAACGCTTAGGGAGACCTCTCATTTTTAGAACCTTACCTAACAAATAGTAGATTTTAAATAATTTTTTTGAGTGACTGATCCTCTCAAACTAATTTGGGATTTTCATAATATAAGTTAGGTGCTTCTACATACAAGTTAGATGCTGGGTGGTACCGCAAATCAAAGCCGTAAGAAAATTTCAAAATGTTACTTTAGAAATCCTGATTTACCCCTAGAGAAGACTTGTTTTATAAAATGAGATGAACACCACCATAGAACAAACTGTTGTATGCCATTACATTATGATTTCCATTTATTCATCCAATGTATTACACTGGATGTAGTACACGCATTTGTAAGACATAGTGCTAAGTACAATGAAATTTAAAAGATGAATAAGAAATAGATCCTGTCCTCATGGAGCTTTATGCTTTGTAGGGTAAATAAGGCATGCATATAAAAAACAGAATTAATACAGAAGTCAGAAGTGAAAAACTATTCCTCAGCTGGAAGAGAAAAGAAAAGTTACTGGAGAAGGCAAAAATTAATGAATAAACTGTTCATCAAAACTAAAGAACAGGC